CACCTGGGTTTGTAAATGCACGTGCACCACTTCATGTGTGCAAGCTTGACAAGGCATTGTATGGACTGAAGCAGGCTCCAAGAGCATGGTATTCTCGCCTCAGTAAAAAGATGCAAGCACTTGGTTTTGTTCCTTCAAAGTCTGACACTTCGTTGTTTATTTATAACAAGTCAAGCATAGCCATATTTGTTCTCATACATGTTGATGATATAATTGTGACAAGCTCATTTGATGAAGCAATGACAGCATTGTTGAAGGATTTGAGTGCAGAATTGCATTCAAGGATCTAGGAGATCTACATTATTTTCTTGGTACGGAGGTCAAGCAACACAAGGATGGTCTTCACCTCTCTCAAGAAAAATATGCAACAGACTTGGTGAAAAAGGTTGGTTTACAAAGTTGTAAGCCTGCACCTACTCCTTTATCTAGCACAGAAAAATTGTCTCTTGCTGAAGGAGAGCTTCTGAGTTCAGAAAATAGTACAAAATACAGAAGCCTGATAGGTGCACTTCAATACTTAACACTGATCAGACCAGATATTTCCTTTGCTGTCAACAAAGTATGTCAGTTCCTCCATGCACCTACCATTGGTCATATGACTGCTGCAAAACGTATAGTAAGATATGTGAAAAATACGTTGAACATTGGCCTAAATTTCAACACGTCATCCTCCACACTTATCAGTGCCTTCTCTGACTCAGACTGGGTTGGGTGTCTAGATGACAGCCGCTCAAATGGTGGCTTTGCAGTATTCTTTAGACCAAATTTGATATCTTGGAGTGCAAAGAAGCAAGCCACGGTTTCAAGATCCAGTATAGAGGCAGAGTACAAAGTTTTGGCAAATGCAACAGCAGAGATCATATGGGTGCAGTCAATTTTAAAGAAACTAGGTATGAAAAGCATTAAAGCTCCATGTTTATGGTGTGATAATCTTGGTGCTACCTATTTATCAGCAAATCCAGTCTTTCATGTTAGAACTAAACACATTGAGGTAGATTTTCACTTTGTTCGAGAAAGAGTTGCAAATAAACTTTTGGATATTCGGTTTATTCACTCTCAAGATCAAGTTACGGATGGTTTCACTAAAGCTCTACCCATAAGAAATTTTGAAGACTTCAAATATAATCTCAACTTGATGAAGTTGTGATTAAGGAAGGGCGTTAAACATGTCATGACTTCATACCCGCAGTTGTGTGTACGGCAAGAGGAGATTCTTGTAACCGAAAGGAGGAGGAGTTAGGCAAGATACTTATATAGTTTTCATTTTTTTTATCTTTTGTATTCTTCTCCTTCAAGATGTATTTCTTAACAACCTGTACGCGTATCTGGGCTCGCAACCCATCTATATAACACGAAGCACGTCGGCAAGACGTTTACCATAAATCACAGTCCCGTGTCCTACTCTACTCTATCTTGCCGGCGAGCCGACCAACACCAGCCAGCCGCCCAACACGAGCACGGCGGAGTCGGAGGATGCTGCGAGTCCCGGGACCCTGAGTCGGCGGCGGTTGTTCCTCTTCCGACTTTTGTGTACTGTAGCAAACAGGGTGCGCTGGCCCGGTGTGCCAGGGGCCTGTGTCACCCGACTGTACTGGCGTTTACTTCACCTGTATTGCTGTATCGACAGGCTTTGGCTTCTGCCCCTCTCTTCCATCCCGTTCTCCTCCCAAATTCCAGCAATGGTAAGAATGCACCACAACTAAATCTCGGTCCTGCTAACCTTCTGCATCTCTCCATGCAAGATTAACCGTGCCTTCTTCAACCCCAAACCAGAGAAGCCTTTGCCCTGGGGGGTCCTCGACGCCCTGGTATTTTTGATTTATCTACCACACTGCGTCTGATTTCTGCGTGTTGGTTTGATCTCCAGGCAGAGCCGATTCCAGCGGATTCCAGCATCATGGTCACGCCTCCAGTCTATCGGAGACGCAATCCCTCCGAGGAATCACGCGGCATCTCAAGTAATCTTATCCCCGTCATGTCCACCTTCAAGTGTTCCTTGACACAATCAGCACGAATGGCTTACTCTAGCGGTGCATGCAGATGCAGGCGGCAAGGATCATGGAGTGGCCAGCTCTACAGGGGAGACTAGCCAGGCCGCCATTTCTGCAGGCCCACCAGATAAGCTTGACCCGGAGTCGGCAAAGGCGTGCCTCGAGGTGGAGAAGACGCACCCCAGGATCCTCCCTCTTCTTGGGAAAGCATACTTCGCATGCGTCGTATGCAAGTCGCATGTTCAGCAACCATTTCAAGTGGTAAAATGATGCTACCATCACAGCTCGATTTCGACACAGATCTGATTCAGTAGCTAGCTTACTGTACAGAAAGGAATGACTTCATTCTGAACTTAAAACAGTTCTATATCTGTCACTGCAATTTAGTCGGGTTCGGGATATGTCATTGAAGTTTCCTTGTTCACTTCTGGTTCCAGATTTGTAATTTCACTATAAGTTGACTACTGAAAATGGGCAAAAGGCAATGGAATACCCCTCTTTTACTCCTTAACAGATTCAGTGGGATCCTTCTCAGTAGTAAATCATTGCTGTCAATTAACATATATTATAAATCGGAACCAGTCAAATGTTTAGTGTAGATATCCGAAGTTCTTAACCAGTAAATTTCAATGAAGATTTTTCTTTTTCTTTTTTGAAGTTACAAAAGGTCATGTGAGTGACACACTTGTTCTGCAAATGGAGGAAATTTGGGGCGTTTCATATAAAGGCACAAAACAATGCATGCAAAATTGCAGATGGACAAGCTAAAATATAGATGAACTTTGTGACTTCAGTGGCTCCAATGTTTCTCCCAGTACCTGAATTTACAGCTGAGGTAGCGCATATTTTTCCTTGCATTTCCTCATGTTGGTCTATCGTTCTGGCCTGTTGGTGTGTTCAGGTGGTTCCAAGGTCGATGGTGCCGTTCCTCCCATCGAAGCCGACGCCGGCGACCCTGACATGGCAGGGTCGGTCCTGGGAGATGCGCTTCACAGGGGGACGGCACATCCAGCGGCTGGAGGCAGGGTGGCGGGGTTTCGCGCTGGACAACGCGCTGAGGCTCGGCGATGGCTGCGTGTTCGAGCTGGTGGGGTGCGATGGCGAGGGCATCGTGTTCAGGGTGCAGGTGCTGCGCGCCGAGATCCCGGCGAGTATCCGGGAGAGGGCGGGCGGGTACACCCCGTCCAGCGCCATCGTGCTAGACTAGCGGAGAAACCGTGGCGTATGTCACCTGCGTGGCTACGTGGACATGCCATATGTCATTCGAATTTGAACTGAACTCGAACCGAGAACTGTAACAAAACTAGTGAGTCGAGGTGTGTTTTCGATGGATTTTGTGTGATTCAATCGGTATTGGCCTTTGATGGATCTCCGTGGAGCGTCTTTGTTCGTGTCAATAGATCGGATTGTTCTGATCTATGATTCGTTTTATCGATGATGATTGTTATTCTGGTACGCTGGTTTTGTACGGTCTTAACAAACAAGATCATCATGATGTCTTTTTGACTATCTACTATAACAAATTTTATACGGCTTTTGGTGACTAATTTATCTTCTATTTCTTTATCGCATCAATGTAAGACATCGACGGCGCTTTGGTGAGCCGCGACCCGGCGGGCGTTGCGGTGGTGCGGCGTGGCGCCGGTCATTGCGGTGTACGGTGGCTGGGCAGGCAACAATTGCGGCTGTGGTGGCGTGGTGATGTGGCATGGGTTGAAAACTTTTGTAGAGTTGTAACCGTCCATCTATTTGAGGAGAAGTGTTTTTTTTTTGGAGAGTTCCAATTTTTTGGGGAAAATTGGGAGACTGCTAGAGCAATTTATTGTCTCAACTCTTTCTATACGTGCATTTCTTTGGAATACGTAGACTGCTGGATGGAGATGCTCTTAGGCCAGATGAAAAGACTACAACACAAACATATAAAGAAAACAAGCTTATGCAAGCTCTGTCTTGCGATGGACGAGGACCTGATGCATGCTTTAGTGCATTGTTCTCATGCAAAACGCTTTTAGGAGGAGGCCAGGCTGCTCTTCGATATCTCCTTGCCACGGCTCCACCCCAACACCTGGACACACTCTGTGAGCAGCGATTCACAGAAAAAGACCGTGCCACCATCATCATGGTCATGCGGGCTATCTGGATGTCCCACAAAAGGAGGACACATGATCAAGAGACCATCGACCCAGCTACCTCAGTTCGGTGCATCCGCGAGGACCTGGCGTTGTTGGACATTCCCCGGCAGAGTTTCATCCCGCTGCCGGGCCACGGTTGGCGGCCCCCTAAGACTAACTACATCAAGATAAATACATATGCTGCAATCCAGCTTGATGCTGGCAATGCGGGTGCGGGAGGCATTCCCCGCTCTTCATCGGCTTCCCTGGGTGCATGGTGCAAACCCCACTTGGGGGTTACTGATCCTCTCATCGCCGAAGTGCTCTCTCTTTGGGAGGGTGCTATTGTTGCCAAGCTACGAGGATACACGCACGTGCAACTGGAAACCGGCTGTCTTGAGGCAGTAAACCTCTGGAACTCTAGCTACACTGATCGTTCGGTGGTAGCACCGATTTTTTCTGAAATTAGAGAGCTCTCTGCTAGCTTTTTGTCATTTGATATATCTCATGTAATAAGAGACGCTAATGGTCCTGCACACCTGTGTGCTAAGCGTGCATGTACACTTAATGTGATTGAAAGCTGGCTAGACTCCACCCCTAGCTTTCTAGTCAGCAGCCTCTTGGCTGACTGTCCAGCGAATGCTTTTATTCAATAAAGCTCTCTAAAGCTCCCCGCAAAAAATGGACTTATGACTGAACTGAAAACATACATAACTCTGTCCTGCAGAATTTTGACAAGTTTCCTAGACCAGTTTAGCTATGACCGAACTGAACTGAAAACATACACCATAGTTCTGTCCTGCAGAACCTTGACAAGTTTCCTAGATAATGTAAATTGACCTGAAGAACAACGGATTTGACTACAATATCGTTCTCACACTACTACTTATATTTTACATCATGTGGGTACTAGAAACTCCACATGACCGTCGTCCATGCCCAAATTTAAGACGGCGGCGACCATGGTCCCAAGAACCGCCACACCTGCAACGGCAATGGCGGCAAACCGTCCAACCTTGCATGTAGCCCATCTGCCTCCCTCCCTCTTCCCCATCTCGCCGGCCGCTGCATTCTCACCTAGCGAGAACAGGGACGTGGACGCGGTAGATCCAGAGGACAATGTGCTCGACGAGAAGCCGCAGCTGCAGCTACAGGGACAGCGCGGGATGGTACACTCGCAGGAGCAGGAGCACGAGGAGGCGGCTGCCATGGCTGCTACAGCGACGAAGGGCGCGGCATCTCCGGAGCATACGCTGGACGCGTCTTCCTCGTAGGTTCGGATCTTGCCACCGCCGTCGACCGTGGCGTCGGTGCTAGCACTGGCGCCGCCGCTGCTGATCTGCTGGAGCGAGGAGATCAGCTTCCTCGGCGTCGTCGGCGAGCGCCCTACGAGTATAGGGCAGAGGTCCGGCGTTATCGGGCCGGCACCGGTGACGATGGCCGAAGAAGGCGAGCCGGCGTTGGTGGTGTCCGAGCGGCTACGGCGATGGCGCAGCCGCGGCGGCATGGCCGTGGAAGTGGAACGGCTGGCCTTGTATTCATCCCAGTACATCTCCAGGTCCCTCAGCCGCCGCTCCAGACAGTCGACACGGAAGCCAACAACGACGTCGTGGTCGCAGGCAGGCCGACGGAGCGCGAGGTCGTGGGGGTGGTGGGGGCTGGTGGCCGTGCTACAGGCGCTCATGCCCGTATACGCCGCGCCGCGGCGAGAGTGGAAGCGTGGAACTGCGGCAGCGCGAGACGACGGTGGCTAAAATAGAGGTGGGTGGTTGTGCGCACGATGCAACGAACTGCCGCTATCGTAGGCCACTGCTTTCACGTTCGACGGCCCGGGAAGCGCGGAGGGCTCGCATTTTGAAATGGCGTGAACGACGTTTGCCCGTTGGATTGATCAAGAAAACCAGCCATCCAGCCGGTTCAAGCCCACTAACGCACGTCCCACAGTTGTTCCACGCGCTGACGGAAAATGATCAGAAACTGCGCGCGGTCCGTAAGGAGGCAGGGTAACAGATTCAATTCGAAACGCAGAGAGGAAGTAGGGCCAAAGCAGATTGAATCCAAATGCCGAAGCGATCGAGATGGCACACCGCGCTTTCTCCTTCCCGCCGGACGCGGTTGACGCGGTTGGTAGGCATCTCTATTTCTAATGGAGCAGTTGGTAGTCTCGCTTTCAGGTTTTTTTTCGTCCCACCACTTTCGTCCGGTTTTTTTTCGTAGGTTAACCGTCGTAGATTTTTTTCGATGATGGTTTCTTATTCACCGGTTTATTTACCCCTCAGCTCTTTCCTTGCAAATCAGGACTTTCCAAACGTGCACGCAATCACGGATCTAAATTTACTAACTTATCCAAATCAACCGATACCTTCCATTATTGCAAATTTCTTTAGGAAACAAATAATAGATTTTAAGGAAACAAATAAAAGATTTTAAAGACACATCATACTTTACTAATAATCACTAAAAATCAAATCTAAATTAATTAATCTTACCTTAAATCACTCAATCACTTTAATTAGAAAACATTTTCTTTCCTAACTGCACCTCGCTTAGTGTGCACGTAACAATCCGAAGTAATTAGGGTCACATGATTGAATCCATTTATTTAGAGCGACATGATTGCGTTCCGGGATGGAGGCCATGATTTCGTTGAGGTCGTTGCTGCCTCCTACACTCAGGGTGTGTCGCCGAGATCGAGGCGAGCATGAGGAGCTGTGGCCACCGCCATGGTCACCTCATCGCAGGGGATGGAGCACGCCGTCGGCCTACAGCTTGTGGAGATCAGCACTTTCCAAACGTGCACGCAATCACGGATTTAAATTTACTAACTTATCCAAATCAATCGATATCTTCCATTATTGCAAATTTCTTTAGGAAACAAATAATATATTTTAAGGAAACAAATAAAAGATTTTAAAGACGCATCGTACTTTACTAACAATCACTAAAAATCAAATCTAAATTAATTAACCTTACCTTAAATCACTCAATCACTTTAATTAGAGAACATTTTCTTTCCTAACTGCATCCCGCTTAGTGTGCACATAACAATCCGAAGTAATTAGAGTCACATGATTGAATCCATTTATTTAGAGCGACATGATTGCGTTCCGGGATGGAGGCCATGATTTCGTCGAGGTCGTTGCTGCCTCCTACACTCAGGGTGTGTCGCCAAGATCGAGGCGAGCATGAGGAGCTGTGGCCACCACCATGGTCACCCCATCGCAGGGGATGGAGCACGCCGTCGGCCTACAGCTTGTGGAGATCACTGTTGCTCTTCAGGTCGCGTGGTGACCGGATCTTGCCGATGTGTCCCTCCCCGACGACCTCCTCTTCGCCCGGTTGGCCGGCATGGATCTCGCCACTACTGCCCTCAACTTCTCTGCCTCGAGCTCGACGGTCAGCCACCATGGATCCCCCAGCTGGAGGGTCACGTGAACCAGCCGTCCTCCCATGCTGCAGCGGCGAGAAGGTGACATGGCTCTCCGTACACGAAGAGTGGAGTGTGGAGTTCGGTCAAGTACTTATATACTTGGCCTCTACTGCTGATCCATGTACATGGAGAAGAACAGACAACCGCTCATTCATGCTTCGTTCCACTCCTTTGCGCTATATTACTGGAGGTGACATTTTCCTATCATCTCTCTATGTTGTAACAAGCCTGTTGCCTGCATAGTTAATGGATTTTTTATTTAAATTTATCGCTGCTTAGTGCTTTGTTGCAATTGTTCACGCAAGATTCTTATATATAATCTGAGCGTATGTAGGCATACTTAGCTTTGCTATTCCATTTTTTTGGCGCATAGAAATAAGAGTATTGTCCAGGTTAGGTATTCAATTGAATATGGTATTTGGATTGCTATCAGAATGTCTTTTCTATGCATGTGATTTCTCACATCTGGTTATAATATTTGTGAAGACATGCATTGCACGTGCACTTGGAAGTGGGCCCGTGGCCCGCGCTGGACGGCGCCGACGCCGACCCGAGCCACCTCGTCCGCGTATTCTTGGAGCTGTGGCTGGTCGATTTACATGAAATTAATTCCCTCGGTTCTGGTGGCAAATATAATACACATAATCCATATTGTTATGCACTAGCGTGTATGTGTGAAATAGATGGATTATGGTTCCGTACCCAATAAGATGGATATGTGTGTGTGTTAGAGAGAGAGGGAGAGGGGGATAGAGAGTGAGGAAGACGGAGGGAGAGTGTGTGTCTGTGTGTGTGCGAGGCTTTGATGGTAAAAAAGATCGCCAATGTCGTAATATTGAACTCTTAAAGTTAATGTGGCCCCGTTGCAACGCACGGGCGTTCTTCTAGTCTTGGAAATTTCACAGTAGGCTCTTCTATGTGTTATTGTTAAGCAGAGTAGATTGCTTCAATTTAAAGGTTTTTGTTGTTTTCTTCAGTGTATTATTTTTTTGTCTGTATGATTGTATCATCATTTTGCGACATGGTATCCTGATTTCTTTATCAGTTCTATATACATTATATATTTTTCCAATTTACAACTCAATTGTTCAATAACTTGCAGTAAAGCTCGTTACTTAATGCAGAATTACTTCAAACCAGAATGTGTCGCCTTTCTCTAATTGTTGTGACTGAACTCCAGGTAGTGATTGGAGAAGCAATATGTTCTCCAAAGTGTTCTTCTCAGCTCAAACTCATATGAACTTGGATGAATAGTAAAATCCAAATAAATAAATAAATTCTGATTTTTTATGACAAACTTTGGCAATATTTTCAATGCTTGCAAAGTTTTATCATGAAATGACATTCGTGGAAGTCGTGGCAAATAAAAAAAATGATTCTCCAAAATGCTTTCGAAAACAATTTTGTTTTTGAGCATCAATTTTATTTTTTTGCCACGACTTTCACGAATGTTATTCTACAATGAAACTTTGCAAGCTTTTAAAACATTTGTCAAAGTTTGCCACAATTTTTTTCAGACTTTTTTGAATTTATTTTCATTTTTATATTTTACTGATCACTCAAGATCAGTTAATCAGCGTCGTGTTCTCCTGAATATTGACCTTCTCTATGTTCTATCTATTCATTTCTTCCTTAGTATATTCTATGTTCTATCTATTCATTTTTTTCTTAGTATATTGGTTTCTTCATACCGTGTGTGTGAGCATATTTTTGTCGTGCAAGAAGTTGAAACTATCGGCCTACTAACACGAAACACATTTATTAATAGGTACTTTAGTGTGTCAGTTTCTCCTTCCTTAATGGAAATTAGTGCGTCCTTTTTCAGTTTCATATCGTCACATCTATAGGAGATTGCTCCTCTTTTCGACAAGTTCCCCAACGACGACGATCTCTTCAACAACATGACGAACGACACATCTGCTTTCACTGCTTCGTATGTTATATCTATGCTTTCTGTTAGGGTTAGTGTTCGGAGTACTACTAATAGCAATCCTATTCCGACGTCAACAATCTCTTCGACTACATGGCAAACGGGACATCTGCTTCCGCTGCTTCGTATGTCATTCTATGCTTTCTGTATGTCATTCTATGCTTTCTGTATGTCATTAAGAAAAAAGGGTTTCCACCCACTTTGTATTACAAAGCAATCATCCGATACAATCAACGATAGGGACTGGAACGAAAGCAGCACAAACACGCCCCAAAAAAAAAGAGAAAAAAGAAGAAACAAATGCCGCTAACGGCGGATCGACAAAAATGACGAAGCCTCATGACTGTTGCGTTCATCGAAGATCGCCCACCAAGCTTCGGGACTTCGAAGCGCCGGTACCAAACAACACCTCCAAGAAAGAACGCAACGATGACTGACGCTGTTGCCAAGGGTTCCCCCCGGTACGCGGCAAGGAGAGAGGAAGGGTAGCCCCGACGCTCTCCAGGAAGGTCCGGCGGCACCCTCAAGCGTCACCGCGTCGGTGTCGGCCAAGCCAACAGGGATTTCTCCCGATCCCGGCCTCTACCTCAGGCACTTCGGAACTCGCCACCGGACCAAACCACCACCCTGCGCCAACACGGACACGAAGCTTCCCACGCTGTCTCACCACGGCACCGCGAAGATGGTCTGCACAATGAAGAAGATGAGCCGGGACTAGGGCAGCAACACCGTCGGCATACGGGAGGGCCCCACCTCCACCGTCTACGACAGCAGCCGACCGGACGCCATAGCAGGAGCCTACCGGCCCATGGCCCCACATGCCCGGCCGGGCCCTCAAAGGCCCGGACAGCTCCCACCTCCGCGCAGCAGCTGGCACGTCGGCGGCGCCGCTGTCCCAGTCCAAGCCGCTCCCCAGCCTCCCCATACAGAGAGCGTCGCGGTCGCACCGAAGCCGACCCGCAAGTACCCAGAAGGGACCCTACGAGCCCAGATCTAGGCCGGGGACGCGCCACCGGCCGGCCAGCACCACCGGACCGCCCCGCCGCCAAGAGGCGGCACCACCACGGCAAGCGACGCCGGCCTCCGCACCATGACGCCGGACCGCCACCGGCCAAGGCGCACCGTCGGCGGCCATCACTGCTCGAGCAGGGGAGGGCCGTGCGTGGGGAAGGGCATGCCCACCGCCGCCAGCACAACACGACCGAGACCGACGGCGGCGGGAGAAGGGAGGGGTGCGGGGGAGGGCTGGAGGAGCGCGGTGGAAGGGCGCCCGTCCGCCTTGCTCGGGAGCGTGGAGGAGGTGGGGGGAGGAGAAGGGGAGCAGAAGGGGGAAAGGGCTGGCGGCTCCGGCCGCCATGGCGGTGGCTCCGCACGAGAGAGCCCTTCTGTATGTCATTCTATGCTTTCTGTTACAGTTAAGCCTTCTTTGATTCACAGGGTAGAAAGATCAAAAGAAAATTTTTTTTATAGAAAATGAGATGACATGTATCTCAAATTCTATGAGTAGGAATAGAAAAAAAATAGCCTCTGATTCATGTCATAGGATTTTTCATTGAGTCTAGACTAATGTTTATTTTTCTTTGAAATGTAAGAAGAATTCTTCCATAAAAATAAAATTCCATTCGTATAAATTCAAGGGCCCTAAATGGATTTTTCCTATAGAAGTCCTATCCTATGGAATTCCTATAATCCTATAAGATTCTTCTAAATCAAAGAGTGTTTGGTATTACTAATACTCTCTCCGTTCACTTTTCTAAGTCGTTTCATGTCTGAAATGTCTTCAAGGTCTTTCATTTTTGTAAGTCGTCTCATGTCTAAAATGTCTTCAAGGTCTTTCACTTTTGTAAGTCGTTTTATGTCTGAAATGTTTTCAAGGTCTTTCATTTTTTTAAGTCGTTTCATTTCTTAAATGTCTTCAAGGTCTTAGGTCTTATAAAAGTGAACCAACTTTGAAACGAAGGGAGTGAAATGTCTTCAAGGTCTTAGGTCTTATAAAAGTGAACGAGTAGCAATTTTGGAACGGAGGGAGTGGTTTCAACAATTTGTTATTTGTCTCGATTATCTTCACTATCATGCTTCCCCCAAAAAAGAATCTTCACTATCATGTTTTTTCAACCGGAAAATGCCTAATTATTTAACAGACGCGGGTGTCAAACTTTTTTTATTCCCCGACTTGTGAGTTCAAAATCAAATTTGTTTAAACTCGTTCAAGTTTGACCAAGTCTAACATCTAGAACATGAAGTTACTCTTTTGAGATTCTGTATATATTTTCATACTATGTATTTTGTGTTGTAGATCTTGACACATTTTTTGAGCTGGTCAAACTTTTAAAAGTTACTTAAAATAAATCTAGAACTTCAATTATGTTGAAACGAAGGGAGTACTACATTCACACGGACTTTCAGAAATGAGAAGCGAAGACCCAAATGTACAAACACCGGTCCACATACAGGTAAGCAACGTTGAAGCTACAGAGCACACTACGAGCGCAGCCGCGCAACGAACACGATCATCGATCTCAGTCGGCCTTCTTGGAGACCTCCGATTTTGCCGCACCGTCATCATCGAGCGAGGACAGATCCCTTGCTCGCTTGTCCTCCGCCGTCTTGGCGTACACCTCGTCGCGCGTGTGGAAGTACTTCTCGAACGCGCGGGGGAGAAACTTGGGTATGAGGAAGACGAACAGGTTGGTGGAGAAGTAGACCAAGTTCGCCACCGCGAGGTACCTGCCGAACCACACCCAGGCCTTATCCTGCATCACGCCGCGGAACGCGATGTTCAGACACACGATGGGAAAGGATTCATATCTGAAACTGGAAATCGTGACATCAACGCACCTGAACGGGGGCGGTGCGGGTGATGAGCTTGTTGGTCCACACTTCGTAGACCCAGTCGACGATGACGAAGACGCGGCGCACCGTGTAGAGAAGCGGCACCAGTGCCCTCAGCGGCGGCGAGAAGACGCCGAGCGAGCCCACGATGTTCTCCGTGAGGATCTGGCACGAGAGCAGGAACAGGTGTGGCGTCGCGGAGCGCACGGCGGCGTCGTCGCCGCGCGCGAACCCGCCCAGGACGTGCGCCAGCGGCAGGAACAGCCCCACCGTGGTGCCCATCACCACATACACCTGAAACAGCCTGCTTGCGCGCGCGCGCACAATTAATCATCCAGAACAGTGCATCCAAATATATACAAGAACAATCCCCAGGTGCTAATCAAGTTAATCTTCTCTGAGGAGCGCGGGTTAGCGATGAGAACTTACTTGCTTCCGCGGAAGATCTCCTGGGACGCGGCGGAGTGGGCGGCGGCGGCTTCGTCGTCGAGCTTGCTGTGGAGCGAAGGGAAGGCGAGGCGGGAGAGGGCGAGGAGGTAGAGGGTGGTGACGACCGGGAAGGCGAGGTCGATGAGCGGGACGAGGCCTGACATCGAGAAGACCATGATGAAGGCGACGAGCTGGAGCTCGATGACGCGGAGCGAGCCCATGACGCCCCCGAGCATCGCCGACGACGGCTGCCGCTCCGCCCCGTTGTCCGGGTCAGACCGCGGCGCCACCGCCAGCGATATTCCCGACATGGCAGCTACCTCAATCAGCCCCCTATCAATCAACAGCTACGGCAGGTGCACAACTGATCGCCGATCGCCGGAGAAATGAACAGAGCAGCACCGCGGGACTATAATTTACGAGAGGAAAGCAGAGGAAGGAGTAGCAGGAACTGGGCAAGAGGGAGTGGGAGTATTTGTTTGTTCGCTGGCGCCGGTCAGATGGGATACGTGTCCGGGCTCGCGGCGGGGCACGTACAGGGCCGAGGACACGAGGGCTGGCTGCGTGGCACTTTTGGGGTAACGCATTTTCATTTTTCTATGCGACGCCGTCTAGTTCGGGCACATCTGTCGTCCATGCTCGCGCCTGGATGGTTCCATCGGGAAGAAAGGAAAGAGAGGAACAGCGTCGAGGCTCCAGGATGAGATTGCCTGATAAGGTCCTTGTAAGGCTTCTAGCAGAAGATTATGTAAAAATCATGGATATTTTCAAAGGGATTTCTTTTGTTATTTTTATAGATAGATCATAAAATCGTGGAACAATAATTTTCTAAAAACATGTAATCCAAGATAAACAAAATTATCGGCTCCACCAAGGTTTGGGTCTGCTTAAAAAAATAACTCATCCTTGAATGTACTTTATGTTTATTCTTTTGCGAACTCCATCCAAAATAGATTGAAAGACGAGCCACTTCAATTATCGATGCTGAGAGGGGTGCTTAAAAAATAATTTCTTGTCTAAGCACCCATACTTATTTATACTCCTTTCGTCTGGTGAAAAATATACATATAGAAATTTTAAGACAAATTATGAAATGAAGTAAAAAATGCATTTGAAAGATACAAGCCACCATCTCTCTCTTTAATTACCCAATCCCCAATGAACTAAGTGCATATAAAAATTAAGAAGACCATGCATAGAGTGTTATTGGTCTTGATTACCATATGGTAAGAGAGAAACATTTTTTCTACTTTAAAGTACATTGAGAAGATAGAACATAGAAATACATCCTTTTATGGACAAATTTTGAAGCCAAATGTATATTCTTCACCGAACGGAGGAAGTAGAAGACAAACACTTAATTAGGCACCATTGTTATAAAGATAAGCACCTGATTCTTAAGAAAAACATGATTTATTTCAGTAAGCATCTTCTTAAGCGTTTTGCACCATAGAAGGCCTAAATTATATCATGTGCCTTCTAAATTAGTTTAGTATAGATAGTTATGCGAGTTATCTAATTTATTTATTAATTTTGATTTTGTGCTTCATTTAGTGTTTAGACCAAAAGATGCATTGTCTAGTCAGATGTCCTCACATAAATGAATCTCTTACCCATCTTTTATAACCAAGGAGCCAAAATGAAAAGGAAGTTTCTTTGCCCCATTAGACCAACCAAAAAATGCGAGTCATTAGGTTTTCAATAGACTAGGGACACAACCTTTTGGCTTAAAGACTTATTACGCAACATGATTTGTCAACGTCACCTTCAGTAAGTAGTTTGAAGTTTGAACAACAATTTACTAAGTAAGGGTGTGTTCTGATGTCCCCCAGCTTCCAACTTCATGAACTCCATACTTGGAGTCGGGCCGAACGTTTTTGCTCCAAGAAGCTGAATCTGAGAAGGTAAGGCAGCCCATAGTGCAAAATTACGAAGTGGAGAAAGCCTAGCTCCACCCAACCGAGAAGCTAAAAGTTCGTCATAGTTACACAGAGTTGCCCCGCCAAAGAAATTGATTCGTTCTCCTCCCCTCGAAACAAAAAACCTACCGCTACACGAGCAACTCCCATTCTCGTACATAGGGCTGGCCAACCTGGACTGGTTCCAGCCGGCCCGTTATGGCGCTAAGGCAGGCCAACAACGCTTTGTGGACCATGTTGGCGATGGTGAAGCTCAGCGATGCTTCCGAACAGGATTACTTCGCTACATGGAGCAAGAAGCTGCGTTGGAAAGCTGGAATCGTGGAGTTTGGAGAGTTGGGAGGAGTTCTGAACATGCTCTAAGACATCATTCTTGGCCTGCAGGTCGTGAATGTCAAGGCCACCTTAATTTTTTGCCTACAAACCACACTTCATTTGGTCGGTCGGCACTTTTTCTTTCACTATCTTCTTGCCAAAAGAGTCTGGATCTGCAATAATGCAGCCTTTGCGAGACCCCTCTTGGGAGTTGGAAAAAATAGAGCATATAAAGAACAAAAAATGTGAGGAGAAAATTGATCAAGACCGCCCGCCCTCCAAAAGAGAGCAACTTTCTTTTCCAACTGCTCAACCGTTTCCCTAAGCGCTCCTCCTCATGTTTCCACTCTCTCCAGTGAGACGCTGATAATGAATCAGAATTCCAGACATTTTATCAGAAATTGGCCTTTTGCACAACCTAATAGGTAAGTGTAAACCAACTGCGCTCACTCGCTTCTCCAAAGCAGAAAAATTCACTTTTATAGAAGTTAACTTTAAGGCCCGACATTTTCTCAAATGCTGAAAGCGAGTTTTGCATGTGAAACCTTATCCAGTTCATGTTTCATACAAAGAATTATATCATCGACATATTGCAAACTAGAAAGGCCACCATCCATAAGGTGTGGCGCTACTCCTGCAATTTGACCATCACATTTGACGCGATCAATCAAAATAGCTAGCATGTAAGCAACAATATTAAATAACACTTGATACATAGGGTCATCCTCACGTAGACATTTCTTGTCTGAAAGCAACAACATATGTCATTATTGACTTTGACAGACACACTACCTCTACTAACCAAATTTTTGATCCACTGGCGCCATTTATTGGAGAATCCTTTCATTCTTATGGTCCATTGAAGGAATGACCATAAACTACTCCACTCATGTACCCTCTTGGTCCAACCTCCGAAAAAATTGCCAAAGATTCTTGGCTCTATACAAAGATTTGCGAGAAGTGAATATTGTTGGGTGCTAACTCTAGGCCACCAGACATCTGAGGGCCAACCGACACTTTCCGCGTCTTTGGACGTGGCCGAAGAAATGCCACTGATGAAGCCTCTATTGCACCCATCCAAGCATCCAAGCCTCCCCTAGTGTCGCCCTCCCAAGGGCGGCTCGAGGATGCCCTCCCTTCGTCCGCCTCCACCCCATTCGGATATCCCCTCCTCGCCATCGTCGGAGGCAGACTCCGGGTTCCCTGGCGGCCGCTGATGAGGGCGACGGGGGGTTCTCGGTCACTCTACTGCATGGCAGGGGCTAGGATTTGGGGTGGCGGCCCTTGGTGGTCCATGCAGTGTTCTTTGGCGCGGTGGGCCACTTCCGCCCCACCGTGTGGGCAACGGGTTGGTGGTCGGCTCCCCATGGTCCTCCTGCTCCAGATCTGAAGATGACTCCTTCCACATGTGTTGCTGCCTCTCCCACGCCTTGTCCGACCGAATCCGGTATTCGAGGTCGTCGTGGGGTGTGGAGCCCTGTATGGGGGTAACATGTTGGCCGACGGCGCCAACCACATCGTTGGCGGCGCTTCGGGTGTCGCTCCCTTTCCTAAACCTGTTCCCGGGTGAAAGTCCACAACCATTGGTTGGGCGGTGGCAGTGCTTCCTGATAACCCACAAGTATAGGGGATCGCAACAGTTTTCAAGGGTAGAGTATTCAATCCAAATTTATAGATTTGACACAAGGGGAGCCCAAGAATATTTGAAGGTATTAGCAGCTGAGTTGTCAATTCAACCACACCTGGAGATTAATTATCTGTAGCAAGTAATCAGTAGAAAAGTAATATGATAGTTTTGATAGTGGTGATAGCAACAATAGTAACGGTAACAATGATAGCTGTAATTTTGTAGTAAGTGTAACAGTGGTGACAGCAGTAGTAACTTAGCAAGAATAATATAAGATAAATTCGTAGGCATTGGATCGATGACTTGTTGGATGATATTCATCATGAGACAGGTATAATCTAGGGCGATACGACACTAGCTCCAGTTTGTCAATATAATGTAGGCATATATTCTGTAAATAGTCATACGTGCTTATGGAAAGAACCTGCATGACATCTTTTGTCCTACCCTCCCATGGCAGCGGGGTCCATATTGGAAACTAAGGGATATTAAGGCCTCCTTTTAATAGAGAACTGGAACAAAGCATTAACACATAGTGAATACGTGAACTTCTCAAACTACGGTCATCATCGGGAGTGGTCCCGACTATTGTCACTCCAGGGTTGCTGGATAACACGTAGTAGGTGACTATATGCAAGATCGGATCTAGAACATGGATATAATGATGATAACATAAACGGTTCAGATCTAAAATCATGGCACCCTGATACGTCTCCAATGTATCTACTTTTTCTCACGCTTTTCCTCTTGTTTTAGACTCTAATTTGCATGATTTGAATGAAACTAACCCCGGGCTGACGCTGTTTTCAGCAGAACTACCATGGTGTTGTTTTTGTGCAGAAATAAAAGTTCTCAAAATGGAACGAAACTTTTTGAGGATTTTTTATATCAATAATAAGAATTTCTGGAGCCAAGACCTACCGGAGAGGGGCCCCTGGGTGGGCACAACCCACCAGGGTGCGCCCCCCCTCTCCTGGCACGCCCAGGTGGGTTGTACCCACCTGGTGGCCCCGCTGACGACCCCCCTGATACTATAAAATCACATATTTATAGAAAAAACAGGGAGAAAGAATTATGGCGATCCACGAGACGGAGCCGCCGCCAAGCCCTATTTTTCCTCGGGAGGGCAAATCTTGAGTCCGTTTGGGGCTCTAGAGAGGGGGATCTTCGTTCTTCGTCATCACCAACCCTTCTCCATCCTCAATTCCATGATGCACCCCACCGGGAGTGAGTAATTCCTTCGTAGGCTCGCTGGTCGGTGAGGAGTTGGATGAGATTCATCATGTAATCGAGTTAGTTTTGTTAGGGCTTGATCCCTAGTATCCACTATGTTCTTAGATTGATGTTGCTATGACTTTGCCATGCTTAATGCTTGACACTTTGGGCCCGGGTGCCATGATTTTATATCTGGACCGTTTATGAATTCATCATTATATCCATGTTCTAGATC